CCGCCCCAGCCCCTGCCGAGCACCGCGCCGGCCCCCGGCCCCGCACCTCCCTCCCTATTTTCCCCGGACATGTCCGGCTTTTTGGGATTTCCCCCCCGACGGGGATTTGAGGCCCAAAAAGCCGGAAATGTCCGGGAAAATCCAGACGTATGGTAACCCTAGTGACTGCACCTCAGCCAATGCACACCATCATTGCACCTGAAAATACCAGTTTAGAGATGGCTTGAGGAAAAGAGCAAGACAGAGCCTTTCCCTCTTGTTGGTGCAAATGCCACTCAACTCCTTGATACGTGAGGTGCAGTACAGCCCAGCACGCAGGATTGGCAGTTCTGACTGAGTTGGGGACCTGAGTGAGGTGTTTTCACATTTTCTTGGGGGTTTCTCCCATTCTTCCCACTGTTTCTGATTGCCCAGACCATCTTCCATCACCTTTCTGATTGCACAACACCCCTCTGGCAACCATAGCAATTGCTTACATAGAAAAGTAATAGGAAACTATTTTTGACTTTTCTGATGATTCCGATGGTCTCTAAAGGTGGCTCCTATTTCCTCTCTTCCTATATAGCAGCAACTACAAGGGGAGACAGCCACGCTACTTTCTCCTTTTGCAGACATGCAAACTCTTATTAAAGGACTCCAATGAAGGACCTGGGTACCTGTAGAAACATCTAGTAGAGACAAGAGACTGTAATCTGCCAGCTCTTGACAGATTGTAAGAAATGTAAGGTCCTCAGTTTGGGAGCTCCTGCCCTTAATGCTCAGTAATGAATTCAGGGAAGTCCTCTTGATTTATGTATCAGAGATGATCATAATGGTTTCTTCTGGTCCTAAAATCTGAATTTCAGTGGGAATAAAAGGAGTTCAGCCTTTCACAGGAGACAACCTTGGAGGATTCAGCTCCATGATATTTTTTCACTCGTTGAGTCTCTTGAAATAAGAATGTTGAACGTATGTCCCATCTTTTCTGGCTGAGCTTAGGAACCTTATGCTTGGCTTGTTCATTATGATATCACCAAGAGCAGCCTGTGACGTATTTAGCAGCACTGAGTAGGGCAAAGGACATTCTAGGTTGACTCCTCTTATTATGATGTTACTCACTATTTATCCAGAAGGCAAGTGCAATACAAGGACAGCTTTCCTTTCAAAGAAGACTTAAAATGACTAGATATTACATTATTTAAAATTAATTATTAAAATAGTGGGTCATAAATAATAATAATTAATATGATTAATACCTTATTTCACTTCATTTTCATGCTCCTCTTCTTTCAGTGGTGAGTGCAAAGCAAATAAAAACATGTACAGAATTCCAAAATCTTCAGGTAGCACCTATCTACCTCGGGATGAAACAAGCCATGGCACCAATAGTGACACCTCAGACACAGAAAATCAAAGCCAAGATTTAAACTGGTATGGATAGTTTTCTTTTAAAATATTCAATCTCTGTTAACTTTTGTCATATGTATACAAGTTATACAAATAATAATAAAATCTTTTTTAAAATTCTTAAGCTCCCAAATACATTTACCACTCCTTCATCCATTTAAGAAGAAGGGAAAAGAGAAAAAGAAAACAGTGGCATATTCTCAGGGCCCAATCATGTGCTCATTGAAGTCAGTGGCAATCATTCCATTGATTTCAATTTGTCCTGGAACCTAAATAGGATTTGATTTTGCTTCAAATGAGCAAGGGAGGTGGCAGTTATGTAATATGATATATAAAGTCATAAATATTTGCACTGCTCAGTTATATGATCTAATGAATGACAGATATCCAATAAAGCCATTCTGTTTTGAAGCCTGTAGATTAAGTATTTAGTAACATCTAAGTTATTGAGTAACTTAGTGTTATTGTCATTGATATAAATTGTGGTTTGGAGGATAGTCATTCTTCCTCTGTCAGTAGTGTGTTTTGCTTCCGTTATTGCAAGATGCTCCTTTTTGCAGAAATCAAGTTGATTCTTAATCAAGTTCTGTTTTATAAAGTAATGTCCTTTATTTAATTAGGGATGTGACAAATACTCTATTCATATGTAATTTGTATGCAAATATTGCCATTTTTAAAGGATTTCTATCTGGCCAAATAGTGAATTTGTGAGGGAAAATATGAGCAAAAGAAAGTAAAACTGTGTCTTGGAATCTTTTACTGTTTGAGAGAGTAGGCCAAGTACCCATTTTTCATCTAACCAAATCATTTGCTTTTCCTGCATCTGTGACCATGTCAGGCCCTTCTTCAGTCCCTTCACTAGCTTTCTCTTGATTGCTCCTCACGTTTAACTTGAAAAACGTATTCTCTCCTGAAAGGCCCTGCAAACTTTTCCCCTACCTATTCTTATTCTCAACTGCCGTCCAGTGCTCCAACTCCACCCTTCAGTCTGTCCAAGCCACACCATTTCCTGCCCTCTTCACATTCTTTTCTCACTCCCATCTCTTGTCCTTTCTACATGTTGACCTATCTGCCTAGAACACCCTTTCTGCTAGGGCAGGGATAAATGGTCAGTTTTTAGAGTTGAGAGAGGTAAATACTGGTGCCCTCCAGGGATCTGTACCTGGACCAGTGCTGTTCAGCATATTCATAACTGTTCTGGGAAAAGGGGTAAACAGTGAGGTGACAAAGTTTGCAGATGATACACATTTTTTCAAGATAGTTAAGTCCAAAGCAAACTGCAAAGAGTTACAAAGGTATCCCACAAAACTGGGTGGCTGGGCAACAAAATGGCAGATGAAATTCAATGTCGATAAATATAAAGTAATCCACTTTGGAAAACATAATCCCAACTATACATACAAAATGATGGGGTCTAAATTAGCTGTTATCACTCAAGAAAGAGATCTTGCAGTCATTGTGGATAGTTCTCTGAAAACATCTGCTCAGTGTGCAGAGGCAGTCAAAAAACTAACAGAATATTAGGAACCATTAGGAAAGGGATAGATAATAAGACAGAAAGTATCACAATGCCACTATATATATATTCATTGTATGCCCACACTTTGAACAATCTGGGCAGTTCTGGTCATCCTATCTCAAAAAAAGATATATTAGAATTGGGAAAGGTATGGAGAAGGACAACAAAAATTATTAGGGCATGGGACAGTTTTTGTATGAGGAGAAATTAAAAAGACTGGGACTTTTCAACTTGGAAAAGAGGCGACTAAAAGGAGATATGATAGAGGTCTATAAAATCACGATTTGTGTGGAGAAAGTGAATATGGAAGTGTTATTTACTCCTCACATAACACAAGAACTAGGGATCACCCAATGAAATTAATAGGCAGCACATTAAAAACAAACAAAAGGAACGCACAGTCAGCCTGTGGAACTTGTTGCCAGAGGATGTTGTGAAGGCCAAAGGTATAACGGGGGTTCAAAAACAAACTATATATGTTCATGGAGGATAGGTCCATCAATGGCTATTAGCCAAAATGGTCAGGGGTGAAACCCATGCTCTGAGTGTCCCGAGCGTCTGATTGCCAGAAGCTGGGAGTGAACAATAGATCACTCAATATTTGCCTTCTTCTGTTTATTCCCTCTGAAGCACCTGGCATTGACTACTGTCAGAAGAAAGGATACTGGGATTGATGGACTATTGATCTGACCCAGTATCGCTATTCTTATGTTCTTATAACCCAAATTGCATGCTTGCTCATTAAGGTCCCTCCTCAAAACACTGCTCTTCCAAAAAAAAAAAAAGCCCATAAATCATAATCCTCCCT